CATGAAATGCAAAAGAAGAAAAAGAAATCTTAATAATTCTCAACCATATATCACCGTTCCTCAATACTTCCTGACCTTTAACCTGTAGTCTTCCTTTCCTTCAAGCTGAGATGCATTATGCTAATGAATCTCTCATAAAGTTTCATTTTCTAATCATATCAATTTCTCTTTCATGTTCACTATCATCAAATCATACGCATTATATTCAATTTATTTCAAATTATGCAAAAGTAATAAATGTGTTAAAAAATTTCCAAAATGTTCGAATTTATTGGCAATTTTTAAAAAAATATTTTTTGAAATTTGTCAAAATTTATAAAATGCAATATTTTTTTTCAAAAATAAGGATGAATAGTTAATTTGTACAGTAATTTAGATACCAATAAAATCACTATTACACATCCAAATGAAAAATCTTTTTAATTAATTAAATGTTTTCAATTAATATAAAAAATTAATACTTTGCTAATTAAATGATTAAATGATTGAATGATAAATGATAAATTTTCCTGTATTATTATATATAGATGTAAGTAATATGATAAGATTTAGATGAAAAAATTTAAAAACTCAATGAAACTATTTGATTAAATCAACAATAATAATAGGAAAAAAAAATCATTTCTAGAATAATAAGATCAAAACTAAAGGTTAGCTGAAAAAAAAAAACCTGAAATAAGATGATCGATTAAAAAATATTGATACTATTTAAAAATTCATAAGTTTGATCTTCTAACTATGATATATTACCATAAAAGTATTAAACAAACATTTTCCTTAATGACCGATCCTTCTTACTACTCTCAATGACCGGTAATGATATTAGCAAGATATTATTCCAATATTCAAAATTTTTTTTCCTTTTACTTTTCCCCCTCCATCATCCTTTTTCCATTATTTAACAATAATAAGAAAAAGAAAAAAGGAATGCGCATTTAAAAGACAAATGCGCACATATATTTAAATAGTATTATTTCAAATAAAAAATACAGTAATTAAATTTACCTGACGTTCACGACTGGTTAATTTTTCTAAAAAATGACGCAAAAATAAGGCTGGATCCTCAACGATACATGACCATACAATCTTTTTCACCATATCACTAACTGAAATTTAAAAAAAAAAAAAAAAGAAAAAGTAATTATGAGAAAAATAAAAATTTGCATTTGAAAAATCATACATAACTTTTATATAAATCAATTTTCATTGTAAATTATTTGTTAATTTTTACATGAAATCATAATTGTTTATCATTTATCTGATAATAGCTATAAGTTAAGTGGCAAAAGTATATTTTAGAGAAATTAAAAATTAATAAAATTACCAGATTTCCCGGAATTTTCCAATTGTACATCATCGAGCATTTCGATAATCATTGGTACAACTGAAAGTAATGATGATGGAAAGAATGGTTGCGCAACTGGCATTTGTTGTCGTGAAGAAGTTGGATGTACATCACATTCTAAAAATTATTATTTAAATTTTAATCTAAAAAAAAAATAGAAAAGAAACTGAAAATAGAGCAAATAAAAAAAAGGAAATAAAAATTTATAAATGTAAATGAAAAATTAAATTAAATAAATGCGAAATATTTTTGTAATAAAAATTTTATATATAATTTATATATAATTATATATTTATATATAATTATATATAATATAAATTTTATATAATTTAATCAATGAAATTCATGGAAATTTGTTAAATAATTAATAGTTTTTAGATTTTTTAAACTTTTTTTCAAAAAAGAAAAGAATAAATGAAATGCTCAAAGAAACACTTCGTCAGTATTATCAGTTATTG